TAAGTCAAAAAATGACCGAGTTACAGCAATTTGATTTACGTTTTACGTTATTTGCACGGGTATAACAGATTATAAAATACTTAGTTAATAATAAAAAAATAAAAATAACTAATCCAATTTATGAAATACCTGTTTACCTATTGTGTTTATCTTTATTAAACTTATCTCAGTAATTGCATTATAATTATAATGTATAAATAATGATTATTTAATAATTTCATACGGGCATAGGTACCAGTAGTARTTCAAATTAAGGAATTTTTCACAGTCGATATTATTCTGCAGTAAGTGCCAGTAACTAATAGGAAATAAAAATCGATATTTTGTAGTTTTAAACCAAATTTAATACTTATCTATTAGTTATTATGAATAATAATTCAGAAAAAGTTGACATGCTTTTTACATATTGGGAATGCCAAAAAAATACACGTCTTGCCAAAGAAACCTATGYTCTTCGTTATCCAAGTAACTATGATTTAACAATAAATTTAATTTTCTCTGCTTAATTTCTCATAAAATAAATACTCTTTTTTATTTATAAATTCAGATAGGCAGCATCCATCACATACTTTTTTTTATAAACTGGAAAAAAATTTGAGAGATACCGGTTCTTTTTCCAAACAAGTTATTAACCAACAACCAAGACGAGGAAATGCTATTGGAGAAGATATTGAGGTACAAATACTAGCTTACGTTAGAGCAAATCCTAGGACTTCTATTCGTCATGTTAGTAGAGAAATAAACATTTCATTTGGAGTTGTTCAAAAAGTTTTGAAAAAACATAAGATGCACGCTTATCGTGCTGATTTAGTTCAACATTTACGTGAAGGTGATGCCGAACGTAGAATTACGTTCATTGCTTGGTTGGAAACACAGTTAAACGAAAATCCTTATGTTTTAAATTACATTCTTTGGACAGATGAATCTAAGTTTACAAATAATGGAGTTTTAAATAAACAGAATCATCGCTATTGGGATGACCAAAATCCTCATTGGACATTTGAGACCAACAATCAAACTGTATGGGGAACGAATGTATGGTGTGGTTTAATAAATGGTAAACTATTAGGGCCATACTTCTACGATGGCACTCTTAATGGAAGACGATATAACGATTTCTTACAAAATGAGCTACCTAATATGTTAGATGACCTTCCAYTAGACATAAGAACGAATTTAATATTCCAACAAGACGGAGCTCCAGCTCACAATGCAAATATTGTTCGCAATTACCTCAATGAATATTTTCCAAATCGGTGGATAGGGACTTATGGAGCAGTTCAGTGGCCACCAAGGTCACCAGATCTTACACCACTAGATTACTTCCTATGGGGTCATTTGAAAACGGTAGTGTATGCCAATCCACCTA